AATTGCATGAATGATGCCGTTGAATGCTACGATGTCCCACTCCACAATCATCGTGTTATTGATTCCCTTGGCGTCCTGCAGTACAGAACACAGACACGTCACCCGACCAGAAAGCCTCCCCATTGTTCTCTGCCTCAAAAGAGACGTGGTGAAAACTTGTGGGGTTTTCTTTGACCTCTGTGGAGGTTAAACCTACTGAGTGCTCTGTACCGTTGCCCACTGGGAGGTCTGATACTTGGAGGTCATATCCTGACTGGGACGGGATGATGGTGCCCGTCGTGAGGTTGAAGCTGAAGAGGACGACATTGCTGGAGGACACATGGAGCTTCAGTTCTTCCCCTGTCAGTGTCTGAAAAAGCAACAGGGAGGAGCAGGGCTGAGAAACAGCTGAGCTGGCTCCCACCCCTCCCCTGTGTGCAGCCTCCTCCTGGCCTGAGCCCCAACATGCTCCACGGCCACAAGACAGCTCAATTCATGGGCAACATGGCATGAAACTACTCTGCAGAGAAGGGGAGATTGCCATCCTTTGAAACAGCCAAAGCTCAACTGGCAAAGGCTCTGAACAACCTGACCTAAACAGCTCTTCTGAGCGAGAGGTTGGACTAGAGACCTCCAGCGGTCCCCTCTGGTTTAAATACCTCCTTCCCCAGATTTCACATCACCATTTTGCCAGCCTTGGGGGACTCCTGCTCTCCATGCCCCCTTGAGCAGCTGCTCACCCCTTCTGACTTACTTTGTTGTCTGCAAAGCCAGAATTCAGGGGGACAAAGAGAGTTTTGGGAGCAGAGTCATCAGACAAATAGATGAAAAAATCCAGTCCTTCTTCTGTGTCATTGGCAAAATCGAGCAACATCTGGAAAAGATGGGACATATTCCCATCAGCACGTTGCCGGCAGAGCAGTGCTATCACCTTCCCCAGCCCAGGAAACATCCCCCAGCCCCGGAAAGCAAACACCTCTGTGTTTGTACTCTCCTCCTCTCGCACACAGACTAAACCACCACTTCTCCCTGCTACAGCCAATCCCTCCATCTGCCTTGTTCCCGGCTGCTGGCATTCTGAGACACCAGGGGAGCGTCACTCACGGAATAGAAGGTGGAGAAGCGAGTGTTGTCCGCGAGCACGTCAGGGAGTTTTCCGCTGCACCAGTACCCATCACCCACAAACCCATCACGGCAGGTGCAAGTCAGATCTGCACAGGAACACCAGGATGTGACTTGACTCACCAAACCCATGGGCCTCTCCCTTGACTTCTGGATACCCCTCAGCATGTTCCCTCCCACCACAGGCATGAGGAGAGGGTGACGTGCCCCCCTGGCCAGAGGGCAGATCTCTGCCTGCTGCCCCGACACTCCTCTTGTGCTCCACAGGATCATCCCCAGGAAACGTGTTTGTGCCACTCACCCTTCTCCCGGTAGCAGAACGCATCCCAGGTCTCACTCAGGTTGCTCCGGGAGCCATAGTCCACGATGCCCACGCGGTTAGCCCCACAGCTGGGGTTGGGGTAGGCCGTGGGGTACCCAGCTGTGCCGTTGTCCAACCAGCCCACCAAGCACAGATGGAATCCCATCTAGCAGAGGAAAATGAATGATTAGATTAAAAATAGCATCTCCGGCCCAGGTTTTCTGCCCTGATGCACACTCCCATTGTGTAGCCTTATCCAACATCCTCCCAACACCTGAAGGGTTTAAGCACTGCCAGAGCTCTCATCCCAGTGTGACTGGCAAGAGCCACCAGCCCTCCTGGCTTCATGGATGTAAACAGCGCAAACAGAGCCTGGTTGGGAGGATGAAGGGTCACCCACCCACCTGCACGTCCACAAGGCAATGCAGCCAGCCCATGCCCAACCTGTGCACCCTGTCCTGACCTGCTGGGCTGCCGAGAGCTGCCGGAAAGTGGCCAGGGAAGCACCTTCCGCAGCACAGGCCTCCCGAGCCTGCTCGTACGTGAAGTCATACTTTTTCCGGGGTGACTGCAGATGAAACACACCCATGGTCTTATCTGCAAAATACCAAGAGAGTATCAGTACAGTACAGTACATTACAGAGAGTGAGCAGCTCCCTGGGGCAGTCACCTGGGTCCCCTGTGTGAGCACGGACAGCACTGCCAATGGAGTGCTTTGCAGGCCTCCCGAGCCTGCTCGTACGTGAAGTCATACTTTTTCCGGGGTGACTGCAGATGAAACACACCCATGGTCTTATCTGCAAAATACCAAGAGAGTATCAGTACAGTACAGTACATTACAGAGAGTGAGCAGCTCCCTGGGGCAGTCACCTGGGTCCCCTGTGTGAGCACGGACAGCACTGCCAATGGAGTGCTTTGTGCTGCATGGGAGGGTGGGATGTGGTTCATGCTCAAGTGAGGGTGAGGTGGGATGCAGCACAGCTTCCTCTGAGCCTTCCACAAGGGACTCAGTGCTTACTGGCAGTGTAATCCCACTAGAGGCCACCTCACGCATCACAGGAGAGCAGTCAAGGATGGCTTGTCCTCCCCATATAACATTTAGTGGAAAAGGTGAACGTGAAAACCAGACCAAGTGTCCTGGGTTCAGCTGTAACAGTTAATCTTCTCCTTCTTAGTAGCTGGTACAGTGCTGTGGTTTTGACTTTAGTCTGAGAACAATGCTGATAACATCCATGTTTTTAGTTGTTGCTAAGTAATTGTTGCTTACCCCAATCAAGGACTTTCTCAGTCTCATGCTCTGCCAGGGAAGAGGGGAAGCCGGTTGGAAGCAGAGGCAGGACACCTGACCCAAACTGGCCAAAGGGGTATTCCATACCACAGCACGTCATGCCCAGTATATAAACTGAGGGGAGTCACCCGGAAGGCCCAGATCGCTGCTCGGGTCGGGCTGGGTATCGGTCGGAGGCTGGTGAGTAATTGTATCCTCTCCCCTTGTTATTTCCTCTATCATTATTATCATTGGTGGTAGCAGTCGTGGTTTTGTATTATGCCGTAGTTACTGGAGAGCTGTTATCTCAACCCGTGGGAGTTACATTCTTTTGATTCTCCTCCCCGTCCCTCTGGGAATAGGGTGAGAAGAAGTGGGGGGAGTGAGTGAACGGCTGCGTGGTTCTGAGTTACCAGCTGGGCTTAAAGAGATAGATAAGTCCCTGGCCTCTTGGCCATCCTGCCCTCCAGCTCTCCTGAGGGGTGCCCCAGCTGGGAAGTAAAGGATGAGGGAGTGTGATCTCTCCATGGAACATCATCCCTGGCACTGCCACAGTTGAACACACTCACCATGGAAGTGCAGGTCAGTGCAAATGGCCTCCCGATGGCACTGCCCATTGTCTTCCAGGCACCGGTCCGTGGGGGGCATGGCCTCCTCCAGGCACTGGATCCCGTCACCAACGTAGCCCTGCTTGCACTCGCAGCGCCGCTCGTTCTGCAGCACAAAGGAAGGAGGGCATTTGTGTGAGTGCGATCACCCAGATGGCAGCTGGGGATCCTTGTATCCCTGTGAAGACGGGGATGAGCCTTCAGAATGCCTCTACAACCTGCTGTGACTATGACAGAGCTATGAAAGGCCACATGGCCTCTGTTCTACCTCCACATCCAACCGCCCACAAACCAAAAAACATCACATTGAATGAATCCCTGTCACATGCTGTTTGAAAGAGAGCTGAGCTTCAAGGTATGTGGCTCATGATTCTGCACATCATGCACCCAGTCCCATCTTCTGGCCTGCAGTGAGCGGCTCTGGTTCCTCTGCAAAAATGGCCAGCATCACCCTTGGAGGACCATCCTTGAGCCCCCAGAACAGTCCAAAAATGCTACAACTGACATAGCTTATTCCCCTCAGACAGAGGAATGGGGGAAAATGGCCTCAGCATAACATCATCAGGACCATCACAACAGCCAGGCAGCAGGACAAGGCATGGCCCCTGCCTGGAGGTAAGGACCTGCAGGATGAGCACAACAGCTGAGGGGACCGGAGAGGCCTGGAGACCACAGTAACAAGGGATGCTGTCACATTGCTGTCCTCCAGGAGCATGAAGCATCCCACCGCAGCCTCAGGGGCTGTTCTCCCAGGCACGCAGCCCTCCCTGTGAAGGGACGGATGGGCTGTACTCACCGGGCCGGTGCTGATGCAGTTGGCGTGCTGGCTGCAGTCCCCGTTCCTGCCGTCCGCGCACCGGTCTAGGGGGTCGCAGACGAAGCCGTCGCCTCCGTACCCAGGAGCACAGGCACAGGAGACGTTCACACCAACCTGCGTGCACTGTGCGTGCCTGGCACACCCCCCATTGTCCTGGCTGCACATGTCGATCACTGCAGGGATAGAAGAATTAGCTTAACTAAAACACCTTGCCAAGTGTCCTGATGGTCAGTGTGTCTGTCACACAACACCAGGTTGCCAATAGGAAATGGTCACCTGCTGCCTTGCAGTGTTGTCTGCTTTCCCCTCTGCTCACCATCCCTCCAGCCCAGCCCCTCGTGGCTCGCCCTTACCTGAGCACATCCTCCCATCACCCTCATAGTGCAGGTTGCATTCACAGAGGTTGTTGTCACGGCAGACGGCCTGGGGGTGGCATGGCGGGGAGCAGGAGGGCGTCATGACTGAACACAGAACACACACAGGCCAGAATGATCTAAGGGCTTGTACACAGGCATGGCTGCCATCACCAGCCTCTGCCCCAGGCCACCTGCACCACGTTCCCCCCTCTTTACCCCTGTGCTTTTCTGCAGATGCCTTGCCCAAATGCAGAGGACTGTTCCTTCACATACACTTGAGGCTTTCATCTCACCCTTAAGGTCTTCTAGGAGCACAGGGGTTTGTTCATGATCAAGTGGAGCTTTCCTCCTCCTCACCACCCCAACCCTTGTGAAATTCAACAGCATGAACCAGATCTCAGGATGAGCCCTGCAACCGAGAGCTCCTTTTTGGAGATATTTCTGACCAGCTGCTTGAACAATCCAGCTACTAGTAAAGCAGCCATAGGGCACTGGGTCCCAGGGAACAGCAGGTGGTGGGGGTTGGCAGCCCTCACCTAGCCTGGTTTCACAGTGGTCTCCAGTCCAGCCCTCGGCACAGAAGCAGAAGCCATCACCATGCAGTCCTCCATTGCACACGCCGTTCTCAGTGCAGTTACACTCTGAGGAATGGAGAAAAACACTGTCCCTTGGTGGCAGCAAAAGGCCACGCTCAGGCCATGGCGCAGCCACATGGCAGAGATGTGGCTTGTGTGGGCAGTTCCTGCCCTGGTCCCCTGCCCCTGCAACTTGCACCCTTCAGGGAGGAGGGGAACCCTCTTTGCACCCACAAATCCCCATCATTCCCCTCCCCTGGGCATTTCTAGAGATGTATTTTTCACTCTCAGTCCCTCCAAAGCCATCAAAAACATTCCTGGAGATCCAGTAAGGCCCGGCTTGGGGTGGAAGGATGGGGGGGCTCCATTTTCCTTCCCTTTGCATCCCCCGGCTCCCAGGTCCCTGCTGAGCATGTCCCAGGAGATGCTCTTTCTGTACAGGGTTCATCACAACTTCAGGCTTTGTCCCCCAGCTCAAAATACATCTTAATACTTTCTGCCAGATCAGGGCTCTCAGCTGTGCTTTGACAAACAAGAGGCCCCCCAAATGGCCTCAGCATGGAGGTGAGTCCATTGGCATCATGGCCGCACTGGCGACAGCTCCTGGCACGTGCCATCCAGCCTTCTCAGACTACAGCTGGACTAATGGCTGTCCAGCCGAGAAGGAACCCATGGAGGATGTTCCCAGCCCCACAGGTCTGACCCGAGTGCTGTGAGGACCAATGTGCATGTGGCAGCACTGATTTCCATGCTGTAAGAGGTCAACCCAGCACCTGACCCCTCTCCAAGTAGCACCACGTGACACAGCCACCTCTGAGCAAACCCTCTGTGCCGCTGCCACCCTGCAGCTCGCCCTTACCTCGGCAGTCTGGTCCATATCTGCCCGGAGCACAGAGCTCGCAGCTGGTCCCGATGAAGGCCTGGCTGCAGTTGCATCGCCCCGAGCCACCGATTTTGTCATGGCAGGTGCCACGGTTACTGCACGGTGCCTCCAGCCCTCCTGGGCATGCTGCAAACGGGACACCTTAGTGAGGCTGTGTGACAAAGTGGCCCTGTGCTGGAGGGGAGCCATTCACTGCCCCTGTGCAGAGCCTGCACACCAGCTGCCACGTGAGCTGCTGCTTATGGGGTCCTTGGCCACAGAGCCTGCTCTGCTCCCCATTCACTCTGGGGAGTGAATGCTGGGGACACCCCATGACAATAAACCTCAAGGACAGGGGCATGAGGGGCAAAACTGGCCTAACTTCCAGCCTGGGAAGACCCTCTGGTGCAATTTGCTGAGTCTGTGCTGGCTCACCCCATGATGAGGGTGAGACCTTATCATGAGGTGACAGCTGGGATAAGACCCCATGGTCTGGCAGCAGACTCATCCAAGGAGTGAAAGGTGCCCATGCACAAAGCACAGAGGGCAGATGTCAGGGAATGGTTGAGCATCTGCAACATCCAGGGGTGAGTGACAGGTCTGACAGCCACCCCCAGCAGCCCTGTGCCCTAGGCTCACCATGGCGCTCTCCCAGGGAACCGTTCCCTGTGCCCTCTACAGACTAGGGCTCCATGCCTGGGGTTTTGCCCAGCCTTCTCCAGGAAACACAGTCATGGATGCCAGATGTGCTGAACCATTAATCACCTTCCCACGAGAGAAAGGGCTGGGGTGGGAAAGGGTCATGTGGCTCCTTACCCCGACATTCACGGCCATAGTGGTTTGCACAGCACTGAGGGACCCACTGGGTGGAAATGCAGCTCCTCTTGCAGCCGTGTTTCAGAAGCCCCCTGGAAGAGAAGTGTCTTCTGAAGGGTTCCCACGGGGAGGGTGGCCAGGACGGCCGCAACAGGGAGTTGTGATGAAACAGAAAGGTGTTTCTCAACAGCTGGTTGCCGTTATACAAGCAGCGCCTCGTTTCCCCCTGTGAGGAAACAGGCAAAACACAGAGTTTGCCACATTGGTCATTGATATCTCACCTTGACTTTTCCTGTGCCACTCATTCAGCCTTATGACAAGTAACAGAGTCTTCCTAACATGTGATGGGGCTGGTGACATAGGAGCCACAGTGTACCTCAGGGACATGTCAGAAACCCAGCAGAGAGGGACACCAGCTGATGCAGTGAGAGTGGGGTACAACCGCTACCCGCCAAGGCTGCTCACCATCTCATCTCTGGCCCATCTCCAGAGGCCAGGGTAAGCTCTTTTGCTATAAAGCACTCAGAGAAGCCGCCAGTGCTGCTGCAGGGACCCCTGTACTGCTGTCACCCATATAGGGATTGACCAAGCAAAGAGCATCGGAGCCTCTGACACCATGCAGCTTAGCCCAGCTCTTGCCCTACAGGACCATGTGACTAGGGGCAAGGTAAGCCTTCATTTAGCTGTTAAAGCACAAGGGGTGTGTGGGTAATGTCATCAGCCCTGTAAGAGGCCTTCTTGTTGACAAAGCTGTAAGCTTTACCCGTTGAATGGAGCCAGCAGGGCAGGGTGGCTCGAAGCCACAGAGTCCACAGCTCTCCATAGATCCCTGTGAAGGGAAGAAAGAAACCTCACAGCAACTTGGTATGTGCTCCTGCATCTCTTGGCTGCTTGGAGCTTTGCCAAGGAAGAGCAGCAATCCCCCTTCCCCAACATCCCCCTTCCCAGGCATGGAGCTCAAGAGGTGGCACAGATCCTCACTGGCCTCATCACAAGTGCTCACCTGCAGCTCAACAGAGATGAACTCATCACACCGAGATCCCAGATCTGGTGGTTCCAACAGCCTATCAATGCCATAAGCAATGCCTGCATTGAATTCCATGTGCCTCTGGATGATAGTGGCATCACCGTTCCCCACCAGAAGCTCTCCCTGTCACAGGAAGAAAGCAACTTGTGATCCTGGCACATCTTACATCCTGGCTGCACTACCCAAAGTTGCCCTTTTGGCTGCCATGACACCTCAATCACCCTAAGAACTCTCCAAAGTCTCTGTGCTTACGTCCTTAACCACCCTTCCTGACTGCCACTTTTGATGGCCATCTCTCCTAAGAAATGGTCTTTGTCCAGGCAACACATGCTCTGTAAAGGTCACAGCATCACACAATTGACTTTGCAACCTGGTCGTCATTAAGTGCATGTGCTGGTTACACACTTCCCTGGCAGCTGGCCACAGAGTCTCAAGCTTCTTTACAGGCTCAGCTGTAGCCAGGGAAATGGGGTGTCTCAGCCTGCAAGCACCCAATTCTGTTCACTTTCTGCCAGTGACCAACTTGGACCATCAGTTGCCATGTGGCTATGCCCAGGGACACCTGCTCAGTGGAAAGCCAAGCCCAGCATTGTCATCACTCACCACATGGATTTTGCTGCAGCTGAATGAGATGGTGGAGCCATGCATGGTCCGTATGGATTCAATCTGGGGCACGTTACCAGCAACAATCTAAGAGGGAGAAACAAGAATGTGAAGGGAGAGATGCAAAAACTGGCAGTTCCCTACTGAAGACACGGGTCAACAGCCACACTGACAGTGGGGTAACGTGGCAGCACATGAAGCCATTGTGGGTAGAACAGTCTAACTATGCTGCGTTAGTCCAAGATTCCTGAATAGTGAGAGACCAGAGTGCATAATCAGGGCCTGGTTTTGCTCAGAGGAACTCTTCCCTTGTTCATTACCCCTGTAGACAACAGCCTGTCTGTGAGCCTTGGGCTGACAGTCTGGTGGTGATGTTGCCTCCCCAAGAAGTTGAAGACATAAGGCTTCAGCTAAGCCATGCTGCACCAGGGGTTCATGATGAAGCAATAGTTACTTTGGATCCTTTCAAGACAACTAATATGCTGCACGTTCTAAAGCAGGAAAATATTTGGTAAGATTGCTCTGGCACAACCATAGGCACTACATGTGGCCTGGGGAGGTATAAGCCTGTTTGCTGTTCCATTTACCTTTGTGTCCCTGACCATGTGTGCTTTGAGGTAGGATGCCAACACGTCCCGATGCTCTCTGCGGTACAGCCACTTCTGCCTTTTCTCTGAGAGGGCATTAAATGCAGCATTTGTGGGCCACAGCATGGTGAAGGGTCTGTGCAGGGGGTCACTAATGAGTGGCAGCAGCTCCGCTTCCTGTCCGAGATAAGAGGGAATACAAAGAAAAAGCCACAAGCCCAAACTGAACATGCCCATGTACACACCACCTCCCCACAGAGCAGCAGGGGTCAGGCTGCTCACCTGCAGCAGCTTGCTGTAAATGGTGTACCCAAAGGCCTCTGCCACTTCCGTGATGTTTTGCTGCAGAGGGAAGAAAGCAAACAACTGTCACTAAGACATCCCTCTCCAGGAGCTGAGCAGCAATGCAGGGGAGAAACCAGATGGTTAACAAGTACAGTAGCTAAGTACAAGTTTATCTCTGTTATCATCATGCTGGTGGATTTGGCCTGCTGGGTGCTCTCAAAGCCACCTATTTTCTCATTCATCCCAGGTAGACGCTGCTATGGCAGAAGCTGGGATGAATTTCAGCACTGTTGTGTTGTAAAGAAAGCGTATTATCTTCTGCAAAACACAGGATCTGTAAGCTCCTAGTGCTTGCTGGAGGAGTATTGGAGCCATTGGCAATCTCACACTCCAATCTGCTCTGTGCTGGAAAAGGAGTGGCACTGGACACAATCTGCCTGCCTACATCCAGTATTGTTACTTTCTGGTGATGGACAAGGCTCCTTCTGTCTCATATCGGGCTATGCCACAAATGCTGTCATCTTCATGAGCCAAACCCGTGCCCTCAGAAAAACCCTACACAGCTAGGAACAGGGAGGAAGAGCAACCCATGTGGTCTTGGGATAAGGGCTTATCAGGGACAGCACTATCAGAGCTGTTGGGACGAAGACCCTAGTTGGGACAAGGACCCTGTCCTCACCACAGCAGCTATCACACAGTCACTGCTTCAGCCTTACCCGTGAGGTCTTTGAGGAAATGTTACGGTCCACCAGGTCACTTGGAATGAGGATCTTGTTGATGAAATGAATGACCCCATTCATGCCAACGATGTCACTCACAACTACTTTGGCTTCCTCATTGAGATAGATGCTATTCTGAGAGAGAAGGGATACGATGAGGTATCCACACCCATGGCACTGCCCTGTGAGCTGTCTGTGGGCCCTAGGCAAGTCACCTGCCACAACCACAGTGGCCTTCAAATGACAGCAGAAGTGACATCCTGGCAAGTGGGCCAGGAAAGGGAATTGTGGCAGAGAACTACCTCTTTCACTGTGATCTTCATTTTGTGGCCAGATAAAGATGTAAGAGACTCCTGGGCTTCCAGGTCACTGGACAGCAATTTCCGGCAACCCACCATGTGGTAGCGAAGCAGGTCCCGGAGAAGACCTCTGCTCCTCCACTCCTCAAACTGCAGACAGAAAACAACAGTGAGATCACACCAGAGACACTTTGCCTTGCAGAGGAGACCCCAGACCTGATGAGGGAGACTGAATTGCCCAAGCCCCCTATGACCCATCCCTGCAGGAAAGCTAGTCCCCCCAAAACATGGTGAATGCACAAAATCATATGAAAGCTTTGGGAAATTTCAACCAGCTCAACAAAACCAGCATTCAGGTCCCTTGATGGAGGACAAATGACCTCACTGGCTTGAGGAAGTGATGCCTGGGAACTGGGAACTGTTCCTTTATTGAGTGTATGGTGGGCCCACGAGAAAAAGGTTGGGACTAGTAATGTGAAGCTGCACAATAGGACTTGTGATGTCAAAAAACTGTTAGTTAAAAAACTGGTTTACAGAGTCATGAATAAGGATCTCTCCTTCCTCAGGTTTCCACTTGCCCCAAACATCCCACTTTTTGGGACTAGAAGGAAGGGACCAATGAAAGTGGAATGGCAGGGCCTGAGGCAAAGAGAAGGAATAAGAGGTCTTCGTCACAGATGCCTTGAAGCCTTGCTATTGCCAGCCCCTAACAGCCATGGTCAACAAAAGTCACCATGCGTCACTGGTTTGGCACAGTGCCTCCAAGGACCCTGAGACAGGGTCTCCAGTAAGGGTCTCCTTACAACAGGGGCCATATCCACCCGTGCCTCAACTGTCTCTGCAGTGAGCTGGTCTCCAAACCTCTGCTCTTACAGTGATGGAGAACGGGAGGTGCCTTTCACCCTCTCCAGTGCAGCCCCTTTGCTTCAATTCACCAGGCAGAACAGCCCCTGAGGGGACACTGCCACAACTGGAGCTTGCCAAACACATACAGTGCTTGGGATGGAAGGATACTTACTGTTGTGCTGTTTCCTATGAAATCTGTCCGTGGGACGAAGACTGTGAAAGGCCCTGCCCCACTGAGCTCCTTGATGTTTTCTGCCTGTGGTAGAACAGCATTCACGGGAAGGGAAACAGAAAATACAGTTCCAGTTAGCAAGACCCTTTGCAGATAACCCTAAGTGTGATTTACTACACAGAGACAAAAACAAAGCTGTTTATCACCAACCAGTATCATCTTAAAGAACACGGATGCATCTTCAATGCTTCCAAGCTCCTTAAACAAAGAGAAACAACCGGTGTTAGCAGAGTCCCTTCTACTTGCTCCTCACCAGGCAGCATGGTGACCTGCTCCCTCCACTCCAGATTACTCTCCCACCCCAATGAGACACCACCTCTCCTGACAGAACGCAGTGATCTTTCCCTCCCTCCCTTGCTAGCACTGTGGGCATGGATGACATGGATGTTACAAAGCAGGCAGTGACCTCTGTCTGACCATTCATACTGCAGGTGCTGCGGGATGAAGTGGACAAAGAGATGAAAGTTGGCTGCTTCTGTAACAGCTGTCTCATGGGTTTAACTGACCCTGTGCTCATGGCACACGTCCAGTGCTTCACAAAATCTCTGCTTTACCCTCACTGTGCTGCCACTATCAGATCTGGGATGCTGTCCAGAGTGGCAGACATAGGAATGGCAGGGCAAATTCCCTCTCCTGACCACACTAGCTTTCAGTAAAAGCAGAAGCGCAGAACTGAGTCCATATCTTTTCTCCTGGCTCTGCTGTGGGGATGACAGTTCTATTTGTCACTACCAGAAAAGGTCACCAGTTTGCCCAAGGATAGCTTTATATCTGCAACAGAGCTGGAGACTGCCCTCCAGACTGGGTCCCAAGGCCTGGCATGGCCAGAGGGGACCTGTCCTGATCCCACAGACTGGGAGAAGTTGGTTCCTTTGGGGGAAAAAAAAAATAAAAATGACTCCCATTTGCTTATAACATTAAGAAAAGAGCACCCTGGAGGTATGGCCAAGGATGATGGCAGAGCAGCACAGTGTTCACATCATGTCACAACTCCCTTTGGAGCAAAGTCGCTTTACTGTGATTCTCTCACACAGCTGGCACACCAAATACTCCTATGATTTACGGACAGTTTGCCTCAGAACACCAGTCTCCACTCCTACACCACACACATCAATACGACACTACAGATCCGTTCACCTGCAGCTTACACTTGGAGGGGAGGGAGCAGTTTGCTGCAGGGCAGGGGGCTCAAACAGACAAAATGCTGCGTGTGCTTCTCACCCGATACAATTTGCCACGGCAGGTGAAGCCATCTCCGATAGTGAGCCAAGAGCAGGAGCAGTTTCGAGTGCCAGGGCCCGTGTTCTTACAGACCCCAAACGGACTGCAGCCTCCATTGTTCTAGCAAGAAAAGCAAAAAGCTTCCAGGGAGGGACATTTACCACAATTTGAACAGCCACTTGCATGCAGGAACTGCTAACTGCATCCAGCCCAGTGGAAGGAAACCATTCCTCCCATCTCTTCAGTGCCTTAGAATAAACCTCACCAAAATCCTCAAGGGCTTTTCAGCACCAAATCCTCCCATGAAATGGACTTTTGCACCTCACCTTACAACCCAGAGTGATGATAAAACCTGTGGTTCAGAGAGACATTTTGACATGGCAGTGATGCATCACTACCAAATGGATGCAGAAAAACAAACCTGCATGTCTCCAACCCTATGTCAGAGTTTCCACACTGCTTCTCCCAAAAGATGGAGTGTCAGGTGGCCAACATAATTGCAGGTCATTGTGAGAGGCAATGGAAACCAAACAGACTAGGAAATCCCTTTGGAATGTGAAAAGGCAAGAGAGCCAGCTCTAAACAAGCAGGATAACCCTGGTGTTGCTGTTAACTGCTAGGAGAAAGGAACAATTCAAGGCTGTGGCCTTCACCTCTGCCAACAGCAAAATGCAGGCATACCTGCTCACACAAGTTGATGGGGTTGCACTGGCTCACACCATTCCCACTGTAACCAGGAAGACAGTTGCAGGCAACCTGGAGGGAGAACAGAATCTGTCTGAAACTTGGACCCAGTAAAGAAAACACACAGTGGCTGAGCTGGATGGAAAACATGTGGTATAGCACCCACTGCTACAGTCATGAATAACCATGCTCATGTCAACAACAAATAGAACTTGAGACTGCCTCCAGCCTCTGGCCAACAGAAGGCATCTGCTTTCAAGCAAACAGCAATCTTTTCATGTTCATTCCAGGTATCTTTCCTATGTGGAAGATAATAAGCACAAGGCAGTGCACTGCAATGGAAAGGATTGCCTCTAGGAGAATTACCCAGCTGTGGCAACCCCCATTATAATGTTGCCCTGAAATCCATCTTACATACTCACCTTCCTTGGGCCTGTTTTAATGCATTCTGCGTTGGTGTGGCAGCCCCCGTTGCTTTCGAGACAGAGATCGATTTCTGCAGCAAAACAACAAGGCCACATTATTGCTGAGGGCTGTTCAAAGCACCTGGGAATTGGTGATTCAAAGCGGTATTGGAAAGCAACAGGGAGGATCTTCCCAACTTGGGAATACTGAGGTGGAAAAGTGACTTGTGATATCAAAGGATTAGGGTACAACTGCAAGATCTACCCCTGCCACACGTGGTCTCTGAGTTGTGATAAATCTGCCCACAGAAAATCTCACACCTGCCTGGGTGTGCTTTAAAGGATGTGAGAGGACTGGACTCTCCCACAGCACCATCTTCATCACAGAGCACCACTGTGGGAGACTGCCCCCACCCTGTCTCTGAACCTCTCCATGACATGCATCAGGGCAAGAAAACTCCCAGGGCTCTCTTGGTTAGAGATGAAAACACTGGTCTGAGGCCATCCAGCGAGACAGATGCCCAGGGCACCATGGGATTTCTGCCCAGTTTTGTGTGGCACTGTGCTGGGACAGTGATGACCACTAATCATGGCTTGGGAAAATGGTGAGCACATGCAGTGCATGTCCATGTATGTGTGCATACACCTCAACAAAAAGTAGACAGTTGAATCAAGATCAGCTAACAATTACTTGCTTTGAAATAATCCCTGCTTGAAGAAAGTGAAGGGAGAACTGAGTTAGTCAACCCTTTAACTCAAGTTAAACTTTAACACTCTTAGTCTGAAATGCCCCTTCACATGGATGATGCCTCACTGCTATCATCAAAACATGCCCCAAGCACTCACCCATGCAGAGCGTCCCATCTCCAGCATAGCCTTCCTTACAAACACAGGTCCTCTCTCCTGGAGACACTTTAGTACACACAGCATGTATGGAGCAGCCACCATGATTGATAGTGCATGGATCTATTTCTGTAACCATAAACAAGAGCCACAGAATCAGCTCAGAGCATCTAGGAAAGATGAACTGTGACAGAATGATCTGTCTTAACACAGACCACATCATCTTACTAAAATCCCTTTGATTCTTAAGGAAACTGTGGGTTCCTTAAAGGCTTAGGGCCTCATCTGAACCTGAGAAAGGTCAGTCAAAAGCCATGCTGATCTTAAATAACCCCCTAATTAGACTAAGAGTCTTTTAGCATTGAGGACTAATGGTAAGACAAGAAAATATTCTCCTGAACCTTCAGGGTTTTTTTCTTTCCCCCCTACCCCCTCCCCCATTTTCAAACAAGAGCAATACTGAAAAGGAACTGTGATGTCTACCAGTATTTTGACTGTTAAAATTTTATCACTCTTTTTTTCTTGTCTGTTTGCTTTTGACCAGGTTTGTAGGTAGCTCTAGAGCAGTAACCTGAAATCTTACTTAATTTTGGTGCAACTGATACCTGATTTTGGCATGGACAATTAGGAGGAGCACAAAATTCTAGGGAATTGGAGCATCAATATTCAAGAGATTCATGGCCAAAACTGTTATATCTTTGCCACTCCTGCTGTGATATCAGAACTAATACAACCCATTCATGCGCATCTCTCTTCATAAACCATAAGGACTGCCGTTACACTTGCTTGCCTTTTTATCCCTCTCTTGCAGGCTCTAGCAAGATCAAGAGCATTCTGTGTAAAGCTATGGACTGGAAAACTTCTCAACCAAAGCATGGCAGAGTTCATGGTGGATGGCTGACAGGAATGGGATTTGAATGATCTCTCCTCTGGCAACACCATGTCATTTATTTCACAAACAAACCCCTTGTCTTCGTGTAGCTTCAACACATGTGTGCAAGCCTTGAATATCGCCCACACTTGCTGGACATACCTGTGCAATGGGTCCCATTCCCTGTATATCCAGCAGTGCAGAAACACATAGGTGAGGAATCTGTAGAACTATTGAGGCAGCTGAAACAAGAAAGAGAGAAATAATCACTGACAACACCTCCTGATTTGCTCAGCCAGTAGGAAACACTACCCAAGTCTGGCATATGCAAGTTATAACCACAGGAGGAACATGCCTGAAGTTGCTGTGTATTTCTTCACCAAATACTCAAGTCACACTGACCAGGGAGCTGGCATCCAGACACAAGCTTCACACCTCATACAGTGCACCCTCACCATGCCCATGTGCTTCTGCACAGTACAATGGAGATGGCTGGGTCTCAGTACCGCAAAATAGGAGACCAGATAAAGGATGGAGAAGGCAGCAAGAGGGAGTCATCATAGCCCATCAGCCTATTTAATTCCTTGATGCACCAAAGTTCCCAGAATGGAACTGAAATTTATGCATCCTTAATGAGCAGACACCTTCTGCCAGCCCTCTGAGAAGCCTAAACACAGAATCACCTCTATGTAAAACACGTACAAACACACATGGCTCTCTCAGGATGACCCAGCTCCCTGTCTGTACTTACTTGGCCATTTCATGGCAAGTGTTATTGCATAAGTCAATTTTGATTCCTGCAAAAGAAAACACAAATGTCACTTGGCATTTTCAATTTAGCACTTGCTGGGACCATTTCTGCCATCTAGAGTAAAAGACCCTGTAAACAACCTCACTGCCACACTTGTGGCGCCCTAACTGATGATGAGAAACGAGCAGTTATACTAGTTCTCCTGTCTTACGTGGAATTTACATTTTGGCACTTTACAATGGAGTAAATTCGGTGTTCTCTGTCTGATCTAACAGTTCAATTTGATCTTATCTGCATAATCTCCACACTGAATGAATGAAGGAATGAAACAAGACTGAAACCTTGTTAACCCAGATATACAGAGCCATTTGGCTTTGCCCCTTTAAAAACAAAATGATGAACTTTTTTCATGCTTTACATTTGCACTGGATAGGACAGCTCCACTAATTTCCATTTCTAAATGCCCCCAAAACATTTTACGTCGCTACAAAATCAATCTTTGTGTACAAACCTGTAACATCCCAAAGTATTTAGGAGCTCAGCTTCCTCCTCACCCCAATGGTAATCATAATCCCAAAACAACCATCTTCAACATATTACTTTGACACACAATGACAGATTTATTAAGAACTGCAGACCACCACCTGAGCTCATCTAAATAAACGAATTTGTGACCAAAACAGCAACTCAGTAGACACACTAGGGCCCTCTGGAGGCTTCAAATTAAGCCCTGCAAAGTGACAGGATTCATGATGAACCCAATCTAGCTGCGAGCTCCTCTCTCTCTCTCCCAGGGCAAAGGACTGTTCTTGAGGTGCCACAAATCTCAGTGGAGATGGAAGATGGGGATATGCTTTTCTCCATATGAATTTCATCCAAATAAGTTGAGGACTCATGTGCTGTTGGGGAAGTCACACCCTAAACACAGCTTGTGTGCAGAAATGAGCTAGCACAGTCTGATAAGCTTTTGGGGGATGCAGAGTACATGCAACAGTGGTCCCCTTGCTCTGCTAACAGAGAATTGCTATGGCAAATGAAGAGGACCATGCAGATTTCTCTGCCAAAAAGGTAATATTACACCATAGTGTAATACTCACGTACTTTCTTGGCAGGTAGGGCCCTTCCACCCTGGGAAACACTCGCAGCTCCCATCCCCTTGCAGTCCATCGTTACATATGCCGTTGTCACAGGCACATTCTGCAGGAGAAATATGAACACTCATCACTGTCAAACCAACAGGTCCCACAAGCAGTCTTTCTGCCATTTCTCTAGCTGCTCCGTTCCTATCTAATGCATCAAACTGCCATACAGAAAGTGTCACAGGAGTATTACTCTCGTTCCCTCGCTACCAGGACAAAAAGCCCAGGAACAGACCACCCACCTCTACTTTCTGTAGTTTGGGTGGCAGCAGGATGACTGGCATAGCACAGTCTGTCATGCCTTGGTTTGAGGATGAAAAACAGGGCCACTCCTCTGGCTGTCCACAAGCACTCACTCTCACTGTCCGTCTCTCAGTGGCTTGCCAGCTGCTGACCTGTCTCAGAGATCTTGGGACATTTCTTCCCTCCCACCACCCCTCCTGAGAGCTGAGACGTGGCCACTTTTCTCCCCTTGCAAGCAGAATGATAGAGACAACTGCAATAGCCACCAGTGTCACCTGATTTGCAGTCAGCTCCGTATCGGCCCACTTCACACATTTCACAGGCAGTGCCGTGGAAGCCCTCCAGGCATCGGCACTCTCCGCTGCCCTCGATGCCATCCTGGCATTCTCCATTCCCAGAGCACCACTGGCCTGGCTTCCCTGGGCACATCTCACACATGTGTCCGTAGTAGCCAGGGCAGCAGACGGACCTCTGAAGAACCAACAAGAACAAGTCAAGGTGAGCAGTCTTGTGCAGCACAAACAAGGTACAGCTTTACTGGGGAAGTTACTCTATTCCTTTAACTATGACATAGCCATAATTTCTGGCAATGCATGAAAGGACCAGATGTGTGCAGGTAGGACAGAGTGAATGCCCTAAAATGGGGTGCTCTGTTGTTTAGAGCTTTATGTAATGAATGAATTACACAGTGAATTACATAGCGTTGCCCTTAAGCACCACTAGCCATTTGGTAAAACAAACACTCACTCCTGTGCCCATCCAGTCTATCTCTTGCCTCTGTTTCTAGCGTGTCCCACCAGTAAGATACTCTCTTAGGCAGAGAAGGGCCATGCCAAAAGGTGATTTGGTTCAGCAAAAAAAAAACTTCTTTTTGCATCTACCCACAGAGGGAGGAAACCATTATGGCACTACGCTGGACAGTACAGATGAAGAGAAACACTGTCTTAAAGGAGTGCAGAAGTGCCCGGTGAGGTACAAGTGCTGACTGAAGCTCTACATGTGAGTACTGCATGTCCAACTCCTCTCTTCCTTCTCCTCCATCTCCCATTCCCACTAAACTTTCCAGGGAGATGCTTCAATACCTACAAGAGCTCAATTCACAGAAGTCTGTCTTCTACCATTTCCTGTTCAAGTGTTTTCTCCCAGCCACACATTTTCACAAAGGGCCATAACAGCTGTGAGAACTTCTGCTCCTCCCTTTGGTTCAGCTCCAATTAGTCATCAGTTATTCGGGAAGGCACATGGACAAGCAAATACCATTACTTGTGTCTCATTTCCCTTGGAAACCAGACTACAAACTTTCAACTCCTCTTCCTTTGCAGGACAAAACCCAAAGCAACAATACCAAAGCAGCAGACCACAAACCATTACTGTGCTGACATTTCACAGAATCCCAGACTGGTTTGGGTTGAGAGGGACCTTAAAACTCATCCAGTTCCAGCCACCCACCATAGGCAAGGACACCTTCCACTAGAGCAGGTTGCTCCAAGCCCCTATGTCCAACCTGGCCCTGAACACTGCCAGGGATGGGGCAGCCACAGCTTCCCTGCGCACCCTGTGCCAGGGCCCCACCACCCTTGCAGGGAAGAACTTCTGCCTAATATCTAAACTATCTAATTTCTCTACCTAAATTCAGGTTAAAGCCATTCCCCCTCATCCTGTCCCTACATGCCTTTGTAAGAAGTCCCTCTCCAGGTTTATTGTAGGCCACCTTTAGGCACTAGAAGCTGCTCAAAGGTCTCCGCAGTGACCTCTTCTCCAGGATGAAGAACCCCAACTCTTTCAGCCTATCATCATAAGAGAGGTTCGCAAGCCTTCTGATCATCTCCATGGCCTCCTCTGGAATTGCTCCAACAGCTCCATGTCCTTCTTATGTTGGGGGGTCAAGAACTGAATGCACTCCGGGTTTCCAGAAGGATCTGCTCCATGATCTTGCTGTGCACAGAGGTGACACTGGCTTGTTGTTCCCCGGGCCCTCCTTTTTCTGTGTTTAAAAATGGGGTTATGTTTCCCCTTTTCCAGACTGCAGAAACTTCACTGGACTGCCACAATTTCTCCAATAGGCTTAGCCACTTCACCAGCCAGTTCCCTCAGGACCTTGGGAGCCCTGCTGTGAAGCTCTTGGGGACACAGGTCCTCACCCTGGCGTGGTGGCCACATACTGAGGGAAGTCTCTTCCTCCTGCAGGTCCTTGCTGTTGCAAGCTTCCATCCTTCTGCATTATTCCCCCCCCCCTTCTGTGTGTGCTGTTGGGGGATTTTTCTGTTGTTTGGCTGTGGATCCACTTCAGACTGCACTTGGAACCAGCTATCTAATTCCTTCTTAGCCTCTCTGATGTTACGCAGCCTTCTCACCATCTCCTGCAATTCAGGACCTTCTGCAGGATGCTCTCTGCCTAGGCACAGCTTTTGCAGGCAGACCTGTTGCCTGTCCCTGCCCCAGGAGAAAGCTCACTTTCCATTCAGCAGCTCTGTCTGGTGGGAGCCATTGGCCAGGGTAGTGGGGCAGACTCCCAGCTGGAGATGCAGCCTTTGCCCTCAGATGAGTGCCACACCATTCTGCCTTGAGGATTGGGCAGGATGAGTGCCCTTGACCTGTGCAGATGGTCACAGAATGGTGCCTGGTTGCTGGGTTATGTGTACTTCACAGAATCATAGAATGGGTTGGAAGGGACCTTAAGATCATCTAGGTCCAACCCCCCTGCCATGGGCAGGGACACTTCCCACTAGACCATGTCACCCAAGGCCCTGTCCAACCTGGCCTTGAAGTTTCTCCACTCAGTCAGTGGAATGTCCCTCCTTCAAAGAAGATATTTCCGTGGCTGCATTTCTAATACTCATCTTCCTTTGTCAAAATGAATCTGAGGCAAATGTTTTTCTTACCAGAGAAACTTTGGCACAGGTGAAATGGCAGCCAAGTATTCCTGCATCCCCAGAGCGTAATTCACATCGAGCAAGGTTCTTGCTTCCTGGTAATTCCTGCAGATATAATCAACATAGACACAGATAGATGATACTACAATGTTTGAACAAACATCGTATATTTTGGTGCATATCACAGTGCTCTTGCCTGGCAGAGGAATAATGCTATTTCTCTTACAGTAACAGCCCTAGAAATTTGGGCTATCCAGAGCTGAGACCAATGAGGCATCTCTAGATGTAAGGTCTCCATAAGGAGTCTATTTTGTTACCTGCCGAATCCACATGCCAATATGAACACTGAGAAAAAGTAATCAGAACATTTTTGGCATAATGAAGCCTAAGAAGCCAGATGTGGCTCCTAGGCAATTCATAGCCTGCTCAGAGATGAAATGTTTAGTTGTCTTCCTCTCTGGAAATATTTATCACTCACAAAAAAGCTGCAGGCACAACCAGCCCAGATGTGTGAACAAATCAATGGTCCGGGCTGGGAAATTGCTATTGGCACCCCTAAAATGGCTTTCCTTGATGTAATGTCAAAAGAGTAAAAGATGAAAAAAAGACATCTCTTCTTCCCTACTCAGAGGAGAAACTCCCCACACTGCATGCTCTAAAAGGCTCCTAAAATTCAGGCAAAGCCTGGTGCCAGCCCTGTAAGGAGCCTTATGGTTCATGTTTGTCTTTTTCCTGCGTAAGCCTCCCTTGGATTCTGCTTTCTCTTACAAACCTTGCTAATGAATGAGCCACAGAGGACTCAAAGGCACATTTTTTCAGGTATTGACATCCACAGAACAATAGAAGTACATCAAAGCCCTATCTGCAGTCTGTGAGATGTCACATGAATCAAAGACTCACCACAAGAACTGATCCGGGAGGACACTTGATCCCCTTCTCACACTTGCTGCACCTTGACTAGGGCACAGAGAACAGGACAAGTCACATGTGTGCCCTCTACCCATGTCACACCAAGACACTAATCTTGAATTACAAATGGTGCTGTAGAGGCTGCTGGCTGGGACAAAGACAAAAATGTATTTATCTCCGTGGCTCAAAACACCAGAAGAACTAAAATCATGATGCATGACCCTCAGGTCCTGGTTGCTATCAAGAGCTTTCATACAAGGTCTTATTCCTTCACTCAGTGGTGTACACAGCATCTTATTCCTGCACTCCCAAGACTGTACCACAAAACAAAGAGATCACATGCTACACTTTTCCTAAGTATCTGAGCTGGGGTAGGGCTTTCTGCAGGCCTGGAGTTCCTTCACACATGGCTGCAAATACTGTTTTCTGACCTGTAACAAGGCAGGTATACCTCAGTCTGACCATGCAATCTTCAGATGGTCAAGAGCCACAAGATACATGCAGGCTAGACTTTGGCCATGACTCCCAGGCAGACCACAGTATTTCCTAGGGAAGCCTGTGGTCATGCCATGCAAGAATTGGGTTGGATTCTCCTTCCGCAGCTGACTATCTGGCTGTCCCTGCACCAGCCTGCCCCATGGATGGCGCTGTGAGAGAGTCCCAGCAAGTGAAGTGAACATAATCTGCATAAAAGCTGCAGATCTGCTGCACTAAAAGTACAGAATCTGAGGATGGGAGGTGCCAAGTCTCCTTGAAACCCCATTTTATGAGGTTTATCTGGGGTCAGACCACAATCTACTGTCTCATCCATGTGGAAGAGATGAAGTAGGTTGTCTGGTATTCATCAGTTTGACTCAGAAGGTGCAGAAACCCTGAGAAGAGGTCATCACCTCCTTGGTAATCACCATTACCTTTTGTATGGTGGTGGTATTGACAGTGCAACGATTCTTCTGTATCTGGAGGACCTGTGAAACCCCGATCAGCATGCCATTCTTTGTCTCAATAAATTTTCCATCCAAAGGAATATTATTGACGAACTTCTGCAAAGCAGAAGAAAATAGCTGAGACAATAACCTTCAACTCCTTTTGCATGGATTGCTTAACAGTGTCAGTAACACTGGGTAAACTTGTAATGGTGTGAAAACCAGAACTGGATGTATCCAGCCACTAGCCTTAGAAAGTAACAGGTCAAGCCAGATCCTCAGAAGGCAGAACAGTCTTCCTTCCTTACCTGGGTGCTGTTTTGATAAAACATTAGCCAGTAGGAGAGCCCTAACATGCTGTTCTTATGAATTCCACTTCTCAAATCCATGGCCAAGAGCTTCTCTCCCAGTACAATGTGGTACTGCACTGTCTCGTTATCCTAAATCCACAAAAAAACCCGAATGTTAGGACTCTTTTGACTTCCTAGACTACAATTCAGTCAGAGGTGTGGCATAAGAAGAGTTCCTAAGCATCTGTAACAGCTAACAGAGCCTAGTAACTCCCTATCAGAGATGACTGATCACACCTGATGACTCTGTTACTGGATGAAGCCATAAACTGAAAATTGCCACTGATACACCACAGCCAGCCAGGAAGGGGAACATGTTATTCCATCTATCAACATACAAATCTACTCAGAAATTTGCACTTGGAGTCCAAATATTCTTTTCAGATCCCACTGCAACCCTCCAGGAAACCCTCTCATTTCTCTCTGCCACATTTCTTCCAGCTTTTAGCACCAGTTGTGCTTCTCCTCTCCATGCTCGAATCCACTGAACTCAAGTTTATGATCTCACAGTGCACATGTCCCTGTACTTAGTGTAATACATATTCAAACTGTAAGCAAGCAGTGAACTTACCAACTGTGTCACATTGGCAGCACGGCAGTACTCCTCAATGGAATTATTTCCAGGAACAAAAACTGTGTATTTTTCAGAGGATTCGATTTTTTCAATGAGCTGGTATTGCTAAAAAATGTTCAAACAGTAACATTAGCAATTACAGTTGTACTCACTAAAAACCAAGAGCTTTCCTAGAAGTTCCCTCATGAATAGTAGGAAATGGATGGTCTCCCTTTTCTCCCCAGGCAGTCCAAGTTTTGGTCTACCAGTATAGGGTAAGGTGTTTGCTCAAGAGACCATTCTGACAACCACAACAGTGCTCACCTCAGCTGCTTACCTGTAGCAACTCCTTGAATGTGCTGAATGAGGCAACTGTCTCGAGCTGCTTCTGCAGACCTGGAGGACTTGGTGGGATATCTCCTGAAGGTGGCAACAAAACCTGTGGAAAAAGTGAGTTCATAAGCCAGGTTGGGCAAGGGGCTCTGGGGGAAATGACACTAGACTCCTGCCCTGCTTGCAAGAAAGGCAATTAGAAAAGACCTCATTTTACACAGTAGTCGTAACTCTTCTGTCAGTCAAGAGAAAAGGAACTCCCCTCCTGCTTGTCCTGGAGACAAGTATTTTAAACATTTAACACTGCTGCACAGGAAACATCTGCCAGGACCCTATGATAACTAAATATGTTTTTGTCATTATTATCCCTTCCTAACTGTCCCGACATGTTCCTCCTTGTCCCTGTCACAGATACTGAAACACAAATCTGCTGCTACAACTGCAGCATTTCCCAGTATCACAGGTACTACCATACCTTACTGAGGACATGAATAATGCCGTTGCTGGCAGGGATGTCACTGACGACTATACTTGCATTCTCAATGGTTAATACCTGCAAAAGTATCAGAGGAAGAAACAAAAGGATCAGAAATTGCCAAGCAAGTGCAAACCAAATCTATTGTTCATACAAGGATGCACATGATTGATCTGGGCATAATTTTTGAAAGATGTCTGAGTTTCAGGGCATCAGTGTCCCATCCAGATTCCCCACTGGATACAGCAGCTCTTAAACAGTTTAATTCAATATTGGTACATGTGTGTTCTGTAAGAGAAGCCCTTACGCTGCTCCTGGTGTTTATCTGCCATCTGGTCTGTGGGTTGAGGGTGGGTAATTCCAGCCTGTCGTACTTTTTGAGCTTTTCATCAGTGAAGACACCTTCAAGAAAGTGGGAGCTGAAGGGAACAAAGGCAGGTAAGGAAAAGATTAGGGCACTGCTTGTAATAACAGGGAGATAAGACTACACTGCCCAATTTTCATGTCTCTCACATGAAGTAGTTAAGCATGTAGAGAGAATGATGGATGGAATTACATGTCCTGATGCCATCTATATCTACATGACAGGGAAAATCTCTCTGCAAATACATGAAAAATAAACTTACTTCCCATTGCCTGTGGTCTGTTATGTCTTAAATGCCTACTAAATTCTTTGCCTACCAGATATTTAATCTTGCTTCTACAGTTATCTCAAGATAACCCTTTATTGGTCTTGTAGAAGCAGAAATCCAGTTCATGGCTTTGTTTGGCATAGTAAAGCAAAGGCAGGAGTCTCCTCATACCTGACTAAAAATGGCAGCATGGAGGGGGTCAACCAGAATTCTTGCTCAGTCTTGCTCAAGTTTTTGATAGCTGCCTCTGATGGCACCAGGACAGTGACATTGGTTCCTGCTGGGATGCTGAAGAGAGATTTCTGTTGTCCAAAGCACAAAAATGAACAAATAAGACATGCCACTGCCACATCCATATCACAAAATATAACCAACAGCCATCCTGCTCTTGCATGAAAGGGATGTGCAGAAAGACAGCATATGCTCAGCAGCACAGCAGGCTCTCCTGGGCATGGCAGGTAAGCGCTGCTGGCAAGTCAATGAATGCCACATATGGCTTAGCCATAACAGCTGACATCTGTTTTCCAGGGGAAAACCTGCTGCTTTAAGTCCTTTTTGTACTTTGATTAATCTTCAAACCCATTCAAGTCATACTGAACCTTTCTGAACCCTCAACATCAGTTTTTGGGGAAAGACCAAGATTATTCCTAGCAAAAGCAATCTATGCAGCAGGACAGGTAAAATAAAGCTCAATTAGATGCTGTACATCATAGCACGCTTCCACAGACTTGCTGCCATCTGCAGAGTGTCTCTGCTGCTGGAGATAGAGAAGCTGTAACAAGAAAGGAACTAACATACAGTCTAACTTCTCAAAGCATGCTCTTCTGAAAAATAGCTATTATAATGCTACTCCTTTTTTTTCCCTTCTGTGATATTTTATGATGGCCAGGAGTTACAGATGATACAACCTTGAAAACTAAGTGTAGCAGCTCCAGATTCCCCCTGTGCTAGAAAAATGGCCCCAAAACACACTATCACAAACTCCAGAGCTTGTTTACATGCCTGTTCTGTAATGATTTCTCCTTTGCTGTTGTTTTGTTTCTCTCTAATGAAAAAAATAAATGGAGTTTCTCTTCCTTTAACAGCAGTGTTCACAGAGACTGAACTTCTACAGAACTTACCCATGCAAGCATCCCATGGCTGTTCTTACCTTAACCCAGTCATAAAAGCCTGCGAAGTGGGAATTCCTGGCCAGCTCCTTCAAAATGGAAACAACAGAAGGGTTACCCTGCTGAGCAGTGAGGTTGTGGGACTGGGAGACCCAGGGTGGGGAAAAGGAGCCCTCTGCAATACCAAATTTGGCAATAATGACTTTTTCTCTCACTTCATAACCATTACAGTCACAATGTATTGTGGGGAGGGATAGGCACTCTGAAAGCCAAATTTCAGCCATTAAAAAAATATATTCCCAAATCAACAAAGTCTTTTCAACTCATCTGCAATTGCTCATGTTTACCAGGGACAGGGATTGAATCCTCAATAACCTCTGACATATCTAATGACAGAAAATGGGCAGAGCAGCTCTGACCTGACTTTCTGAATGACAAAGAAAAGATGACTTAGTGCACAGGACAGACTGGGGTGCAGCAGCTTAGAAATTATTGGCAATGGTTTCACTAGCAATAAAAGGCCTTGCCATGAGTTCTGTCCTTCTGGCCTTGGGACACACTTGTGCTGTCAGGTTAATGCTGGGAGAAGAAGTCAACTCAGGTAACAGAGAAAAGGAAAGTGAGAGCAGAGGCATTTCTCTCCAACCTGAAGAAGACCTCAGACATTTGCTTTTTACTCACTTTTAGAATGTCTCCATAGCATGTCATGCCATCCCCAGTGTAGCCTTCAGGGCAAGTGCAGGATCTCTCTCCTCCACCAAGGGGTACACACATAGCCTGCAAAGAGAAGGAAAGGAGAAATTAGAGAGCAAACACACGTCATGCAGTGTTACACCTACCTAGGAACTGAATTTGACCTTCCATGGCATGGGCTAGAGAAGCACAAACAAGCACCTTTCTCCTGTTGCCTTCATGGTGGCACTGTACTTATACCTCATGCAGCTAAGCCTAGGTGATAGCTTTCATTGTGTGAACTCACAAAAATCAGAGGATCCATCTTTATAACACCTCAGCATGCCAGTAAGATGACATAACGTAAAATCTTGCAATTCTCTCAATGTCATGGCTGCAAAATCTCTGTCAGGGAGCACAGGAACCTCCACTGCCATGCCAGCCTTATACAACATTTTAGCTACTCACCAAGTCATGGCAGCCACCATTGTCCATAAGGCATGGGTTGATTGCATCACAGTTGTGGCCATCGCCAGCATAACCTCTCTTGCAGACACACTTACTCTGTAAGAAAGAGACATTTCAATTTTAGAGACATATCAGAACATTCTCATTTGCTACCCAAAAAAGGTCTAAGGTATCAAAACCTAGTCCTAATTTATTTTCCAAGGTTTTCTTCCTGGTTCCTCAAGGCCTGGAAATGCAGAGGTACTTCCCAGCACAGCATCCTTCTCTATCACAGCACATACTGCCTGGTTACTCAAGTGCATTAATGCCTTGCACTGGTTGGCTGTTGCAGGGTGACTTAAGGATAATGGTTTCCATCTTCACTAAAATCTGCTGGATTTGGCACCTTTTCTCAGCACATTGTCCAATGCTCCCTTTGCTCAGTGAGGAGGAGCACCTTGAGAAGCAGTACCCTGAAAAGCCACCTCTCCTATCTCAATGCCTGGACCAGCTCCTTCCATGGACTATCTGAACAGTATTCAGATGCTTTTCAGTATATTTTAGCACCAGCCAAAGACACTGCTGTGATCTGTGAATAACGGGGCACAGCAACTGGTGCCTTACACCAAGCCATGTTATGGAGTATATCTCTTCCCTTTGCTGCATGAAAGTTTCAGAGTAGAGCAGCAGCCTCAAACGCATCAGTGTATCTAGCCACACGCAAGCACACTTGTGAGGTTTTAGCTGCAGCCAGTGTTTCTGGCAGCAGACAAGCAGGCTTTGCTGCTGACCAGCCCAATTCATACCTCTGGTAACCTAAGGCCATCTCAGAGCAGCTTGGGAAATGTTAAGTCCCCCATCAGACTGCTTAGCATTGCTCATACCTGGCCAGGGCCGATATAAACGCAGTCAGCATTGACGTGGCAGTTGCCTCTGCTCTCCAGCATGCAGTCGTCTATAGCCACACAGGCCTTCCCATCCCCAGTCCAGCCCGTGTTGCACTGGCAGGTGGCAGTGCCGGGGCCTGTACTGGTGCACAGGGCCTCCAGGAGAAGAGAGAGAAAAAGAATTAACTCAGCAAGAAGGGAGACAGTGCAGTGCAAATGCAGCAACAGATGTCCTTCATCAGACTATGGAGAATATCTGAATGACGAACTCTGATTCCAGCACTGGAAGGTGGAAGCATCTTCTCCAAAAAAAAAAAATAGACAATTTCATAATAAAGTCATTCTGGAAACATTTTGTTTCATATGTTTTCAGAGAGGTAGACATTTGTGTCTAGAGTGGCTCAGAACATCCAGGGCATTCTTTACCATCCTCTAAAGCTCTTCCATTACATAAATTACATAGATATTCCCTAAAAAGGAGGAGCACAATCACCTGCCTGGACGTGCAGGATGGAGTCAATGATGGAGGGGAGATATCTCCCAGGAAAGACATACTTTGTACCCAGTGCCATCCTATTTCCTTCTACATGGCCCAGTGTTTTCCTCTCACTGAGATGTCCGACCACTTGGCAGTCATTACCATCATAAAGCACCACAATTTTTACTAAGGATAATAATGTAGTGTTGATGGTTACTAGAAATATAATTCGGAGCTCACAGGTAAGCTACAGCCTGAACAGAGCAAGAGAGAAACTAATTTGAAGAGCTTGAAGGGAAGATCAGTACAAACCACAAATTATCTGTACAGCTACTCTCTGTACCTGCCAAAACACCCAGTGCAAACCAGTCAAACTCTCATTAGGGTGTTGCATTTTGGCACCAATCCAAATGACTGACATCCTTATGACAACTGTGTCAAGGTATCTTTTATTCCACCCCATCTTACAGACAGAGAAAGTCAGCACACAAAATCTGTAACAGTCCCAGGAGTCCTGGATCCCTGCTCTGATTGATAGGAGCTGCTTCCCCATGCTTTAATAGTCCAACCCCACTTACATTCTGTGAACAGCCTCCTTTTTCTGGCTGACTGCACAAGTCAATAGGCTGGCAGGAAAACCCATCACCTTCATATCCATCCATGCAGATGCACCTTAAAAGTGTAAGCACAAAAGGGACACAGATAGAGCAGCCCTTCTAAAAGCCAGCAAAAAGCAAAAAAGGCAGTTCGAGCCTTTCAAAGAAAGCAAGAACCTGACTTTGATTTCTAGCAGGTTGGCTGCACTACTCAAAAAAGTAAGCAGACCTATATACACAATTAGAGGGCTGGCAGCCTTACAGCCGCTGTGTGCCTGTACAATGACAATCACACCTGAATGTGCATGCCAAAAAGACTGACCTTGCTGTGTCATTGAGGCTGCAGACAGCATTCTGGTGGCAGTACTGGGACAGACCGCTTGGGCCACAGTTCTTGGATGTCTTGTCACAAAATTTCCCAGTGTAGCCTTCTTTACAGGACCAGGACTGACACACACCACCACTGCCAGGCCTGTTGTCACAGACGCCATGGACACAGCCACAATCTGTCAAGTACGTGGAGTAAGATCAGTAACTATAAAAAGTCCAGAATCCAACACAGTTGACTGCATTTTGTAGATACCCAACTTTCCTTCACAACCTCTCGTGACACCAAACGATCATCCCACTTGTTCTTGACAGATAGATGTCTGCTGAGAGACATCCATCATAACTAAAAACTTGGCTAGGGATGTTCTACCTGGGTCCATGCTTTTTATAAGCCATGAGGACAGGGTCGAATTTAGGGTATCAAACTCAAGGTCATTGTCAACTGTCTTTCCTTCCTATCAGGAGAGATCTAAAATCAAACTCCCAAACCTAAATTTGGCTGATGTTTCCAAGACGCAAATCACCACTGTCATATCAGCCATGTTTTCTCTGCTGTTGTTTGAAGAGACACCCATGATGACATTTCCAACACTCATTTTGTGATGCTGGACTTGCCAGAAGGGAACCCAGGATCCATGACCCTGCACTATATCCTTGCCCTACATTTTCCTCTAGTCTCTGTATCAGCATTACCAACCTTCGTCACAGTTCTCGCCATGTTTGTTTGGGTTTGAACAGATGTGGCAGGCTATTCCTTTGAAACTTTCAAAGCACTGACAGCTGCCATTCCCTTGCATGCCATCATTGCACTGGAAGAAAAACAACAAGGAAACCAAAGTGATTGAAACTCCAGAAAACAAGGCAAAGCCAAGGTGTTGATATCAAAAGCACTTCCATACTTGCAGTAAAATGCAGGACTTTGAGGAATGTTAGTAGTAATACAAAATCCCACATAGCCAGAGCTGTCTCCAACAGCCATGACATGATTCATATTAGAGCTTGAGATAGAAAACCCACTGAGTACATGCCATTCTCCCTGGATCTTCTGCTGCTACCACTGTGGGCTTAGCCCTGGAGCACAAATGCTGAATTGTACTTATGTATAACTATACTCTCTAACCACACCATCTCAACTTCTCATTGCAACATAGCAGGATCTTTCATACGTACACTTCCCCGGCCATAGCATGGACTGGAAAATCCCCCTGGGCATGGCATGCAGTCTGGACCAAAGAATCCTTTGCAGCATCCAGGTTTCTGAAACAAAAGCAAAATTAGAAAGGTATGATGTGACTTTACAAGAATTGCCTGGAGTCATCCTACCCTTATAATTCTGAAATACTGGTCCTCTCTGCCATGGACTGAAATGGACCATCTCATTTGGCATCTGTGTTTATATGAACTCCTCCACTTACAATTACTTTTCAACAATACCCCTCTCTCTGCTCACAGCTGATTCTTCTCAGAATAAATCTCTATTTTCTGCACTCTCTCTGACTTGGACAAATAGGGTCCATGTTTTCTATAAGCTTTTATTTCTTCAATAGTACTGGCCCACTGACTCCTATTTTATCCTTGCTAAGCACTGCATTCTTTGGAGTGATGTAGTAGCAGTCCTGGATTGCAGGCCTTGTCATGACTGGCCAATGGAAGAAAAATCACCAGACAACCAACCAACAGTATATAATGAGATCACCACAAATCATTCCATGTAGCTGGCACTGTGAGAACTCAGGAGCTGCTGAAAAACATGAGGTCCATAAACTTGCTAAGAAAGACTTCCCCAAACCATCTGACAATGTTTCATAAACAGGATGCAATCACTTCACAGCTTACAGCACTTTCCCTGTGCTCAGCTTCCTTTGAGAGAAATGCTAAAACCAGAGCACTCTCAGTGAAAACGTGTGTCATGGTTTAAGCCCAGCCAGTAACTCAGAACCATGCAGCTGCTCGTTCACTCCCCACCTTGTTCCCCCCCTTCTCCCAGAGAGATCAGAAGGAGAATTGAAAGAATGTAAATCCCATGGGCGGAGATAAGAACAGTCCAGTAACTAAGGTATAATAGAAAACTACTACTGCCACCATCAGTAATAATAACAGTAAGGGAAATATAAGGGGAAAGAATATAAAACTAAAAGGGGAAAGGAAAAGAAAACAATGAACACAAGTGATGCACAATTCAATTGCTCACAACACACCAACCGATACCAAGCCTGACCAGAACAGCAATCTGCCCCTTCCAGGTAACTCCCCCCAGTTTATACACTGGGCATGACGTGCTGTGGTATGGAATACCCCTTTGACCAGTTTGGGTCAGGTGTCCTGTCTCTGATTCCTCCCAGCTTCCCCTCCTCCCTGGCAGAGCATGAGACTGAAAAGTAAGCAACAACTACTTAGCAACAACTAAAAACATTGGTGTTATCAGTGCTGTTCTCAGACTAAAGTCAAAACCACAGCACTGCACCAGCTACTAAGGAGGAGAAAAATAACTGTTACAGCTGAACCCAGGACAACATGCCACAGCTGACACTGCAGCATTTACCTCATGGCTTCCTCCAGCTTGGCTGTTCACAATATTTATTTATTGCACTCAGGTTTAGCTGAGCTGCTTTCAACACTTGCAGCAGGTTGGTGTCCTGTGTTCTCTGTTTGCCAAGGAAAAAGGAAGTAGCCAGTTCATGTGATGGTCCTGGGGACAGCCCTTTGTGGGGGACAGCTTTCCTTTCGCTCCCATCCAGCCCTCTCTCAGCTCAATGAGGCAGAGCTCTTCTTAATGAACATGAGGTGCAAAGCTGAGCTCCTTTCAAAGGGAATGTGGCTTTCCATCACACTCACCGTAATGGTCTGATTGCAGTACCTGGCGCACCCCTTCTTCATGACATTCAGGCCTTGTGGATCATGGATGTAGACACATTCTTTTGGGGAAAGCATTGGTTCCTGTACAAACAAAACAAGTCATCAGCACTGGAACCTTCCTCTTTGCTCTTTTTGCTGCAGGGAGCAACTATGCCTATGTCTGAGCTGAGGAAGTTCACAGAAGAGCCAAGGCAAACAAGATACCGTTCTGGCACGCCTATGATGGAAGAAGGCACATGGCAGCTTCCTCTTGCTCCCAGCAGTCCCTGAGTCTGAGCCAAGGTGTTGCCCTTTTGTTCTAATAATAGTGTCTATGATAAGGGAGAGAGTGAGAGGAGGGAGAGAGGTGGAGGATGGGACGGAGAGGAGACAAGAGGGAGAAAGGGCAGGGGGAGAAATAGAGGGTAAGAAAGAGGGGAGGAAAGAGAAGGGAAAGGAAGGGAAGGAGGGAGGAAGAGAGTGGAGCAGAGAGAATGAGAGGTAAAGAGAGGGGAGGAAAGAGGAGGGAGGTGAGACTGAGAGGGAAGGAGGTGAAACAGAGAGAGTGACAGAGAGGGGTAAGGATTGCACATAATTTTGGAACAACGCTTAGTGACCTGTCACGGAATTAAGACATAGGCAGAATTAGGCCCCAGATGATTCTGGCTTCACCTACCTCAATCAGAGAGGAATATGAAAGACTAGTGATTTTGCAGAGCTCTACTTTAGATATTTATGCTAAGACCATATCAGTAAGTTCTCCTGAAAGTCAGATCTCTCAGAAGACACCCAACAGTTAACAGTGGTGAACACCTCTATGGCTTTCACAAACAACATCTTGGGCCTGGCCTTCACACAGGGATTTCCTGGAACTTGCTGTTCTGCTAAACTCAGCATGGGATAATCCAAACACCATCACATAGCCTCCTCCTCCTCCTTACACCACCTTCAGTTAGTTCTGCTCATCTCTGAATAAATAGGAAGCACAGGCCAAGAACAATTTTTTTCTCACCCTCTGCAGTGCAGAAAGCTTGTTGTGGTTCTCTAGCTGTGATTTATGCAGTGGTAGTACTGGATGGTACTATAGCGGGATCAGGCTGTGTCCTAGCAGTTTGGAGGAGCTGGCAGACATGGCAGGTGAGCAGGAAAGCTCTGCCTGAGGCAGAACAGAAGTGCTAAAAGCTGCAAGTCTACAATTTCACTTAGCCCAAGCTGTCTCAACACTCTCCCCATTGATTCAGATGACAGACTTCAGAATAAGAGATAGCAGAGAGCAGTTAGTGGGTGGCAGTCTGAGATCACAGAGCTGTGGATATGTGGGGAGTACGTATCCTCCAACAAGCCTCTCTACTGGTTGCCTTTCCTGCTCTCCATTTGAAAGAGGCTTGGGTTAGAAAATGTCTATCAGTACATCTGTATATCATCATGCAGAAAAGAAATTACCAAAATAACCACAAATACTTACCATTTCTCTGCTGCCAGGTGGGCAAATGCTATTGTTGAGGGCCTCACAATCCACACAAGAGCCCTGTTAAGAAAACGAGAAGGGAAAATTCATCTTCCCAAAGGAACCCATTGCCCAGGCCAAGAATGCTACAGAGCTACTGCTCCCAGTATATATCCAAAACATCATAACATGTATCAGAAACATTTGTAGGAGGGAGTTTCAACGCTCTGAAATGGGCTAAGTTTATCACATAAATAAAACTATTCCTTTGTCTCAAGGAGATGCTTGCACCTGACTCCAAGATGGGTGCGTTCTGTGTGTCTATCAATCAGCCACTAGACACACAGCTAAGCTGGGAGACCCTTTAAGCATCCACACAGCAGGCCTCACTATATCAGCAAGTTACATGGACCCTCTGGCTACTAAGGATTAATTGTATCTCTCCAAATCAGGTACCTCTTGCCTATTCAGAGCCTTATCTTCTTTCTTCAGTAACCTACCAATAATCAAATCGGGGAGCAAGCACCTAAAATAAGGTATACAAAACTTTTCAGATGAGAATATTGCACAGCATTTGTAGCTTCTGCTACTGAATAACTGCTTCGTGTCCAGACTACAGAACACCAATGCTGACCAAAGCATTGTCAGCTGAGTTAGCAACTATGCCGTGAGGAAGATCATATAAGGCCTTATAAAAAGGCAAATGTACTGCTGAATCAAAGGTAGGATGGGTGCAAGGAAAGAACAACAACCTAGAAGGAACATTTGCCAGGAAAGCAGTACCTAGTGCTAGCAGAAGAAACACTAACAGTGCCGATACTGCCTAAGTTCACATCAGGGGACCTCTTAGAGTGAACACATTTCCCAAATGCAATTTACACATCCTGCTTTTATCCCTCCAGGCAAGTGAGGGGCCTGTAGCAACCACTAGCACCAGAAGAGTAGAAGCTGACTCACCATCACCACTTTATGTTGCTCTTCATTACATCTGTGAGGCAAAATGGGAATTATTGAAGGTGGGATAAAGATGCCATCCAAAGTATGAATAATACCATTTGATGCCACAATGTTTCGCATGTTTATGGGGATCCCTGATTCATCCATCAGAATTCTTCCCTGATACAGAAACACAAATAATTTATCTCCATTTTAGCCCTTCAGACTGTATCAACTACATAAAGCCAATGCAGGAAGCACATGGTACACATCATCAAGTACAACCACACAGTCAAACCTCTTAGTGGAGTCACAGGTTGGATAAGAATTCAATAACCTTATTTAAGTTTTTTTAAGCAGAGCAGGAAGCAGAGATCAGCTGAAACCACATTGTTCAGAACCACATCCAGACTTTCTCCTAGCACAAGAGGGTTTCCCCAAAAGGGTTTAGATTCATACTTACATCTGCACTGATGTTGATGGTAAGTATCTGGTTAGCCATAGTAACAATGTGTGGCATCATCATCAGTTTCTCTACAGTCACCTGAAATAAAAACACAAGGTGACACTACCATGAAAAAGCATGTTCATTTCAGTAGAGCTTACCAAATCCTTCCATGATTCCTACCACTTAAAAAACATTCGAAATGGGACTTGACTTCAACATTTATATTTCATTAAATACTTTAAACACAAACAATGGGTCAGAGGGAAACCCAGGACTTTGTGTGAAGTGTTTGACACCACAAACACAGCGCTGCTGGTGGCAGCAGCCTTGGTTTTCATTCCTTGTGAAAATAACAGTCCAGCACAGCTGAAATCACATCTTCTGATAGTGTCACTTACACCTGAAAGTAGGGTCAGACTAATAAGGGGATTTCCCAGGACATGTTCAATAAAAAATGAAAGCTCAGTCAGAAGCACAGTAGAGAACATAATAAATAAGCTTATTTCTAAAGACAGAGAAAATGTAAACTTTAGCTACTGTACTGAAAAGCTTAATGATTTGGGAAGTGAGCACCATCACTCCCAGAACACTCAAGAGTTCCATGATGAAGAGCACAAGCTGTGCGCCTTTTGGAAGCCACTTTCATGGTAATCATTTTGCCTTATCAGATCCTGAATCACATCTCTGCTCCTCCAGGGCAAGTCCAAGCCAACCTCTATGCCAAGCCACACAGTTGATAACATGCTGGCCCAAAGGACCCCAATTATCTGGAATTAGAGCTGCCTGCTTTACCGCTGCTGAAGTGTAGATATGATGTTTCACAAGTTCCTGGAGCTTATTTATGCCCTAAGGAAAGAAGATAACAGGAGAATTAGATACCCCTTCAATGCTCAGGAATAAAAGGAGGAAACTACATTTTCTTTTAACCAAAGACTACAATGCAAATGTACTATAGCAGTAAATTCACTTGGCGAGTAAGTTCCTTCATTTTCCCCTACCCAAAGCCACAGTGAAGAAGGCAAGCCAAACATGACATTAAAACAATCTGGATAACCATATTTTTCATTGCAGGCTCCAACAGCATTCATTTTTCTTCCAAAGCCTTACAGAAACAGACTCGGTGTAGCCATCTCCAGGAAGAACAACTTTCAGCAATGATCAGGTAACACTGTACAAGCCATTGCAGCACAGCCTAGTGCAACACTGTTAGCTAGGAATGTCTTAAAGTACTATGAGCGCTCACCTCTGTGAAAAGATAAATGAGCCTTCCATCTCTCAACTTATCCACACCTTCATTGCTGGGTACAAATACAGTAAAGGGGCCTGGTCCATCCAATATTGCAGGCAGGCCACAGTTCTGCAAAAACATTATAATATTTCATCATGGATCTAGCATGAGTTACTGAGGGGGTCTATCAGGAAGGGAGAGGAAACTCGAAGCAACCCACTAGAGGCAGAGCTATTGAAAAGCAAATGTATACAAGAGGCAACTGGACACCAAGGATAGGTATGTAATATAACAGAGGCATAAATGCTACAAAAACATAGCTTGGATAATGAAGCCAGTGGTTTGTATGAAGCTAATGTGAACAAGCGAATACTGGGCAAATCCTCCCTGTGTGCTTTAAACACACGTGCATACACAGAGACTAAAACTGCATCATTTTTCCTGAAGAGAAGAAAAAGAGAATCAAGCCTATAATCACAATTGCAGTTAGTGAATTTTGCAAACAGCTAACAGCGACAGAGCTGAAAACAAGCAGGCCACAGTTGTTGTGAGCAATGCTAGAGAAGATCCAGGTGACTCTGATGAAGGTAAAATCAGTCTCTCCCTAGTGAAAATACTAACTGAATTAATCCTGGGCAGCAGCCTCAAGTGTTTGTAACCTGAGGACTGCTTTTATTTAGACATCTACACCCCAAACCCAGGTAGCTACAATCTAGCTTGACATGAGCAGTCATGAAACCTTCACTCTTTGTCCTGACAGTGATCAAGAACTGAACATGCTTTGGTAAACAAATTCTCCAGGGTAGAGGGGAGGGGGAGAGAGGGGAAGCAGATGGGAAAGAGGCATGTATGCTTGCTGCCTGTGCCAGATCCCCTATAGATGTGAAAATGCTGATCTTGACAACTACATTTCCTTGTGTAAAATACACAAAATAAGACACGACACAGAAAAAGGCATTCGGAAAAAAAGCTAAACCACTGAGATATATTTAAAAGTTATTCAAAACTCCCACAAAAACAGCAGCAGGCTTTGCAGCAGCAGCATTGCCTCACCTTCTTGGGGCAGACACAAGTATGCTTACCTCCAGTATAGTTTCAAATCTACTGAAGATCTCCATTGAAGCAAGGATCTCACCAATGGTTTTCTGCAAGAAGATATAATGAGGTAAATGGCCAGGACTGAAGCGAGGTCTGAGAACATACTGGAATGCCCTTGGCCAGTTTATGCTTGTGATTTGCATGTGAAGATCTACGGAAGACCATCATCCTCAAAGCCTTCAAACCTCCCCTGTTCACCAATTGATCTACAAGGACTGAGCCTGCAGTAACATAGGCACAAATTCCCTTCATTGCACAACAAACCAGATTTTCCAAGGTACAGTGCACTTGAGTACCCTTCTGTTTTCCCATTCCCATCTTCAGATTAAATTAAATGAATAGGCACTTGCTTACTATCATTAAAACTAGAGATACTGTACTTCCAGTGATATACAAATCAGTTCTGGGCTGGCAGGCAGTGGGGCGGCTCTCTCATCTCAAATCTCCCTGTGTTTTGAGGACAAGAGTTCACTCTGCCACCTGCAAATGAGCTCCAATGCTGAGAAAATACGTGTGCATACTCCTGAAAATGCAGAGGAAATAGATGCCTTCCTTTTTGCCATGTTGCCCATGAAGACAAAGGTAACAGGAGGAACCTCCCTTCAAGTACCAAAACTTGTGAAGAAACTTGTCTGACCTTTATTTGCAGGAATCTGCATGGGGTTTTGGCAGAAAGTGCTTCCCGTAGAACATGCAGAGGCACAGAACGTTATTTCCAAGGAACACTGGTACAAAGGGATTTGATGCCAAAAATGGCTGATGTGATCACTAGCCTTTATTGCAAAGCCAACAGCACAAGGGAAGGAAACATCTGAAGGGGTCCCTCATGAAAGTAGAATTCACTATTTATTCAAGCACTGTAAAAGCTTCATTGCGAGGTACGTATATGGCTTATATACTGCTACTAGCTACTTTTAACGCTACTGACATAATAGTACCTAACAGGCCTTATTAAGAGCTGAAAACAGAATAAATAGCCTCTTCCCTTTAAAGAAAGCAACACTGATTTTGAAGTTTAATGATGAAAATTGATTATTTTTTAAGTGTTTATTCTACTGTCCCATAAAACAAAAGAAATACGAATGTCTGTGTACCTGTGGGTTTCTGAGGTTGTCAGTGCTGGGTTTTTCCCTTAGGGTGTTCACAATATGCATGATGCCATTGGCTGCTGGCAGGTTCGATCGCAAAACATTGTACAGTTCCCCCGGCAGGTCTTGATATCGAAACGACTTGACATATACATGGATAATAATAAAAGGTTATTTTCTTATTGTATATCTGTCTTATCACAATAGATCAATAAAACATTGTTCCCTTCAGTGCTCTACGCCTATGAGTCAGCAAGGTGAAGGCACAACCAGAATTAGAATCATCGAATGGTTTGAGTGAGCAAAAACCTTAAGATCATCCAGTTCCAACCCCTGCCATGGGCAGGGACACCTCACATTAGACCATGTAGCCCAAGGTTCTGACAACCTGGCCTTGAACACTGCCAGGGATGGAGCATTCACTACTTCTTTGGGCAATCTGTGCCAGTGCCTCACCACCCTCACAGTAAAGAACTTCTTCCTTATATCTAATCTAAACTTCCCCTGTTTAAGTTTAAACCAATTGCCCTTTGTCCTATCGCTACAGTCCCTGATGAAGAGTCCCTCCCCAGCATCCTTGTGGGAGTTACTCTGGAAAAAGTAAATTTAAGGAGTGGCCTTGTGTAAGACAAACATCCCACTTCTACTTGAGTTTGGGCTGTACTTTGATCCAGGGGGATACTTTTAAGTCCTATGAAAGAAAGACCTAAAGAAGACAATCATTTCTAGAACTGAGTTTGAGTGTGAATGATGCTTGATCCCTGCTCTGGATCACAAAAGGCTGCACTGACTATCAAGTAGCTGCTGCATCAGTCTGCCAAGTACAAGGAGAGAAGAACGGTGCATCCTGCATACTGAAGTATGGAATTTGGAGGCAATCCTGGAACTACAGCTTTGACTGCAACTTTTAGTGGCTCACAATACCAAAAAAGTCTTTATAACAAAGCCAAACCAGTCAGGCTCACTGAATTATAAGAAACATATCTGGTCCTTCTATATTGTATACAACTATGCACTGAAGCTGGGAGTATGGGGGTCTTCCAAGGGTAAGCTACAAACTAAGCTTGGTGCTGCAGCCATAATCCAAGTTCAGCCAAGCACAACTTCCTCGTGCTTTTCATTTCACCACGTGCATTCCTTGAACTGCTCCTCCCTGCCCTGAACTTCAGTTCACATTACTGAGGATTCTGGCTGAAACAAAGGAAGGGGAGGGCAGACTTCTCACATCAAAAGACTCTGAGTAAACAAACAGGAAAGAAATGTAAAAAAAGCATTGACAAGCTCAGTTCGGATTCCCCGGCTCCAAATAGTGCTTTGTCCTTTTGATGCACGCAGGGTGCATGTATTATGACCTAGACCTCAAGGCCAAGGCTGGATCCTCAGAGAGGAAACATACGGCTCTCTCTTGGCCAGCTGTGAGTATGCGTTCAGGAAAAGTGCAGAATGGAGAGGACAGTGGATCTTGGAAAATATGAGTCAATTGGAAAAGGGGAAAAAAGCTTTCCATATCAGAACATAATGATGAATAAATCTTTGCTAGGAAAACTAAGAAAAATAAAATACAAAGAGGGTAAAAGGGAAACTGGAAGAGAAAATATTCAGCATGTGGTTGTGTCTAAGCACACAATCTCCAGGGAGAAGCATTCATTTGGAAGAGAGGTTTTGCTGCCTCTTCCATGTCAGCTACACAAATACTGTAGCTGCCAGCGATGCAGGGAAAAGTTCTCTTCTGCAGAACACATATAAAGACCAAGAAAAGACCATTGACAAGTTGGATTCTGACTAATCAGTTGTCTGCAAGAAGGGAGAAGTGATTGCTTGGGTGTCTGGTCTTAATTCAGCTTGCTTTGGACTCCACAAAGGAGCTTGTTTTTCTGATTGCAGGCAGGCTGATTAGAGAAAGAGTTTTTCTGGTTAAAAAAGCACACCAAGGAAACTATGCTCAAGCTCCATTCTGTCTTACATGAAAACAGGACTTCAGTTCAGAAGATCCTTTACCTGGCTACTGAATGTTAGCTGATGTCCTGACAAGGTCCACAGTGTCTTGATTTTTACCATGTCTTCCATCAAATGCAGACCAGGAATAACATGCATCCTGCACAAACGCTCAGCAGTGGTATCCTGTGGGGAATAAAGAGCACAAAGAAAATTAATTACATGTTCTTTCAAGAACTTCATCTACTGAAAGAGCCATAACCTTTCAAGAACTTCATCTACTGAAAGAGCCATTACCTTTCTCCCACCTAACACAGAGAAATTTTTGGCATACAACATCGAGCTTTCCTCTTCATTTTGGTTCACTGGAGGAGCACTGTGGCAATTCTTTTGCTTCTTTTTGTGTAGATATTCAAATACAGGGAGACAGATTAACCTGAAAGTGACTTTAGAGGAATCCCCTAGACAGAAACCTGTTGGTCTTGGACAATTTAGAAACTATCCCTGCATGGTCCAGATTATAAAACTTGCCAAAGCTCCCCATACACAATCTTTGTTTATGCTGAACCATATACGTGGTCTAAGCAACTGACTTTACATTTAGTTTCTTCCTTTCTTTTCTGGGCTTTCCACCCCTGGTGGTTCAATACCCTGTCAATATTGATTTAATTGGAACTGACTCTTGTGGGAACAGGTAGACTACGTAAGTCAGCGGCCTTTCCTGATGTATGTTCTATGAAGCCAGAAATAACCATTATGACCTTGGCACAGGGCCTGACTTGTGTTACTGGAAACTAATGTTCAACAAGCTAGTAGGAGACAGCTTATTGGTTAGGAGTTGCTCCCGTGACTCTATGTGAGTGTATGCGAGTTACTGCTGCTGCACAGATAGCTTTGCTATCAAGCAAAGGAATGATATTTCTAAACCCCTTGGAAATACAATGTTCAAATGGGGTTAGTCTGTCTAGGTTATTTTTAAGGCATTTACCTTTTTATATCCAAGTGTAAGCTAGCTGCCAACCTGAAACACAATTAGCACACAAATAAGATCCCTACCGCATGAGCTGCTTTTGTAGCTCATGTGTGTTGGTTTTTAGCTTTGTCCTGCAGAAATGGCTTATATACTTTCTCATCCTAATGATGGATAGCCTGGTTGTGGGCTTAGCTGTGCAAAAACTACTGCAAAAGAACAAAATTGAATTTAAATAGCTAAACAAAATAATAATATGACCAGCAGGACTTAACTTGCTGATGCCTAGAATTCCCAAACTCTTGTCCTGCCATACTCGCTATGCCCATTAATAAAATGACCTCTTCTCAAGAAGTTGACACCATACCCACATCTAGGGCCACAGACCCAAAATCCAAGACTCTGAAGCAAATTTCAGCCCCTTTTGAAAACCCCAACCGCAAATAGTGGAAAGCCACCTAAGGTTTTGAGAATAGTTGCACACAGGAGGTTTGAACTTTAAATAAGTGACCAGAAATGCTTACACTTGCTGACATTAAAAACAAACAAACTCTGTCAATATTGAAGAGAGAGATAAAGGTTTTAAAAATAATGTGAGGGATGTAACATCCTCTGTGAGACTGCAACTTAACAAGACAATGAAGAGTCTTGCCAAGAGATTGCTTCTATAAATACTGCATTCCCAAATTCTCCTTTCATATCCATCAGTTTTTACAGGCTGCAGAACTCAGGCAGAAAAGAACAGAAAAAAATTTCTAAAACCAAGAAAACTTACATTAAATTCAATTCTATCATGAATGGGAAGAAGGGATGGTACAAAGACTGTGAAAGGTCCATATTTAGTCAGCAACAGTGAGCAACCAGAAGCTGTAAAAAGAGTGGCAACGTGAAGTAGTTACTTAGTATATGGTTTAACTCCAGAAATAATTATTCTTCTTAACAGAACAATTCAATCCACACATTTTTGGCCCAATGCACCTAACTAGTACTTGTTTACAAAGAACCAGAGGGAGACTGGTACTGTTATCATAGCCCAACTTGGTTGCTATTAGTTTTAAGCACCTGCCCACAGGATTTCTGAAGGATTGCTGGTGACTTTGGTTCACTTTGAACCCCTGCTGAAATTTGCAGAATATTCATAATTTTGTTTCCACATTCCTACTATCTTATTCTTGGGTCAAGTGTCCTCTGTCTTTCCTTTAGAACAGTTAATTTTGGGGTATCATCAGAATTTATTGAGACTAAATACTTCTTGAGAAGCTGCTATGAACAGCTATGAGCTGTTGGTCTTCACCCAATCATCAATGGCCCATCAACAAAATCCACAACAAAGGTATTAAGCCCCACTGCACAGGAGTTAGAAACTTGGAGATCCTCATGTGCAAAATCATTATGGGAAACATGTGAAAAGTGAGTGCTGCCAACTGATATGTATCAGGGAGGGGTATTCACAAACACTAAGCTGAGCTTTAAGACTTATCTCTATGCTCCTGGCAAGCTAGTGGAGATAGAAAAGACTGTGCAGAGGATGAGCTGGAGAAGGTATCAAACATAAATATGCTTTGGTCTAAAGGGTTCTCATTCTTTCCTTGGATTACAGTGAGGCAAAAAATTAAACTCTGCAGATACCACTCCCCACACTTGTACACAGTTCTAAACCAGTCTTCTACGCTTTGCAAAGCATTTCCTCACTCAGAAAGTACCACGGTACATAGAATAAAGCCTTTTCATCTCTATAATAGCCTCTCATTAAGGCTGTTTAAGGGCTCAGTAAATGCTCTAGTAAGTAGAGGACCCATGGCACACCAGCCTCAAGCATCACTGCTAGAAAACTCAGCAACAGCTGAAGATTGCTGAGCGTTCACGCAGATACTGGAGGTGGAGACACAGCAGTGGTTTGATACAAATGGGTTTGAATCACACCTGCAAGGTAACTTTTTATTTTTCTGTAGATATGGTACGTTCTTCACCAGAACTGCCAAATACCTAATACACGTCCACAGTGCTCTCTGCAACAGTCTCCTCAATTCACAATTGAGAACTGATTATATGAGGTCAGAGTTGTGATATGTTTAATTTGTAGCCCATACTCATACACTGCAAAACAGATCTATTACACTGGAAGGTTTTTAGCCTTTCCTGACACCCTCTTGTCCCCATGTTTGCTCCATTCCCCAAACAAGTTCAAAAGACATTTACCAAACATTTTCCTGGTGACGCCTAATTTCCTAGCAAACCTTCCTCGTGAATTATGCTGATTTATTTCACCCAAGAGATCTTTATAGCAACTTCTCCCATCTCCAATCTCCCCTTCTTTACACACACAGCTAAGAGACAAGAATGAAACATAAAAAAACATTACAAAACACTTCACAACACTTTCAACAAATGTGAGTAGAACAACAAGTCAGAATCGACACTTGAAAGACAAATCCCAGCTTTAAGGTATAGGTAAGAGCTTAGTAACTTCTCCTAAGCTGACAGGAAAAGATGCACCCTTCTAGTGTGCAAGCAAATTTGGATCTACCCAAAGAAAATGAAGATGCTTTCTCAAATACAATCAGCAATCAATAAGAATTGTCTGCTCTAGAGTTAAGGGTGCAGATAGCCATAACATATTTATCAACATCTTTCTAACTAGATAGTCTGTCATTACTAGTCATTACAGCATCTGAAAATTTGAGCTAGTGTTTAAAAACCACAAGCTAAGTGAAAATCTAGCAAACAGCTCCTATGTGACCCCTCAGATTCAGTAAGTAGTGCCAGCTCAAGTACATCAGTTAGCTACGGTTCATCTTAGACTTAACGAGGGCCCCAGGCAGGCTAATGACTTTTCCAGAAAAGCTTATCTACATGTGAAAATCTCCGTCTTGATTCACACGGGTTTATAGTCATTACTCAGAGCCTACTCAAGATCACTGGCCGATAATCTTGTTTTTTCCCGTTTGGGTTTTGTCCAAGCATCGGCTCTGCTCTTTCTGTTTCAGGGATGCAAAGACATGCGACACAGGGGAGGAATCTGACATTACTCCAGCCTCAGAGGGCTGAGTGCCAGCTGCTGGGGAACAGATCTGCTAAGGCAGGGACTGTGCTGAACACTGTGTCCTGCACTTTGCTAGCAGATCTTCAGCAAGGGAAGCCACTGTGTTTCAGTTCTGGCCTGGAGCACACAATGAGCAAGTGGAAGCTAACAGTTTTAGCTGCAATGGAGAAGGAAGGGTCAAGGGAATGGGACTGCTCTTTCACTCT